GTACTTGAATACCTTGTACATGTACTTGTATACCTTGTACATGTACTTGAATACCTTGTACATTTGAATACCTTGTACATGTACTTGAATACCTTGTACATGTACTTGTATACCTTGTACATGTACATGTACTTGTATACCTTGTACATGTACTTGTATACCTTGTACATGTACATGTACTTGTATACCTTGTACATGTACTTGTATACCTTGTACATGTACTTGTATACCTTGTACATGTACATGTACTTGTATACCTTGTACATGTACTTGTATACATTGTACTGTACATGTTCTTGTATACCTTGTACATGTACTTGTATACCTTGTACATGTACTTGTATACCTTGTACATGTACTTGTATACCTTGTACATGTACTTGTATACCTTGTACATGTACTTGTACACCTTGTACATGTACTTGTACACCTTGTACATGTACTTGTACACCTTGTACATGTACTTGTACACCTTGTACATGTACTTGTAGAAATAAAATTATTATTATTATTATTATTATTATTATTATTATTATTATTATTATTATTATTAGAAGTGTTTACAAGCTGAAGAGAGCATATGTGGAAAGTCGAAATAGTCAACATTCTTTCCCATATGTGGAATAGTTACTGCGTAGAGCTTCAAGTTACTACTGGATAAGGCTCTAAACAGAGTGAAACACTGCCTACAACCTGTCTCCTTCAGTGTCCCACAAATTTTAGATAAAACTCTAGAAAAAAGTCTCAGTCCATTAAGTAACGAGTAAAAGAAAATGAAAGATAGTAGTAACAGCTGGTAGTGTTAGTAGTAATAGTAGTAGTAGTAGTAGTAGTAGTAGTAGTAGTAGTAATAGTAGTAGTAGTAGTAGTAGTTGTAGTAATAGTAGTAGTAGTAGTAATAGTAGTAGTAATAGTAGTAGTAGTAACAGCTGGTAGTGTTAGTAGTAATAGTAGTAGTAGTAGTAGTAGTTGTAGTAATAGTAGTAGTAGTAGTAATAGTAGTAGTAATAGTAGTAGTAGTAACAGCTGGTAGTGTTAGTAGTAATAGTAGTAGTAGTAGTAGTAACAGCTGGTAGTATTAGTAATAGTAGTAGTAGTAGTATAGTAGTAGTAATAGTAGTAGAAGTAGTAGTAATAGTAGTAACAGCTGGTAGTATTAGTAGTAATAGTAGTAGTAGTAGTAATAGTAATAGTAGTAATAGTAATAGTAGTAGTAATAGTAGTAGTAATAGTAGTAGTAGTAATAGTAATAGTAGTAACAATAGTAGTAATAGTAGTAGTAACAGTAGTAGTAATAGTAATAGAAGTAGTAATAGTAGTAGTAATAGTAGTAGTAGTAATAGTAGTAGTAGTAACAGCTGATAGTAATAGTAGTAGTAACAGCTGGTAGTATTAGTAGTAATAGTAGTAGTAGTAATAGTAGTAGTAATAGTAGTAGTAGTAGTAATAGTAGTAGTAGTAACAGCTGGTAGTAATAGTAGTAGTAGTAGTAATAGTACTAGTAGTAGTAATAGTACTAGTAGTAGTAGTAGTAGTAGTAGTAGTAACAGCTGGTAGTATTAGTAGTAATAGTAGTAACAGTAATAGTAGTAGTAGTAACAGTAATAGTAGTAGTAGTAACAGGTGGTAGTATTAGTAGTAATACTATGTAGTGGTGGTGGTGGTAGTATTTGTAGTAGTAAAAGTAGTAGTAATAGTAGTAATAGTAGTAATAATATTAGTAATAATAGCAGTAGTAGTAATAATAGTAATAGTAGTAATAGTAGTAATAATAGTAGTAATAATAGCAGTAGTAGTAATAATAGTAATAGTATAGTAGTAACAGCAATAGTAGTAGTAGCAATAGTAGTAACAGTAGCTCTAGTAGTATTAACAGTAGTAGTAGTAGTATTAACAGTAGTAGTATTAACAGTAGTAGTAGTATTAACAAGTAGTAGTAGTATTAATAGTAGTATGTAGTAGTATTAACAGTAGCAGTAGTAGTAACTAGTAGTAGTAGTAGTAGTAGTAGTAGTAGTAACAGTAGTAGTAGTAACAGTAGTAGTAGTAACAGTAGTAGTAGTAGTAACAGTAGCAGTAGTAATAACAGTAGTAGTAGTAGTAACAGTAGTAGTAGTAACAGTAGTAGTAGTAACAGTAGTAGTAGTAGTAGTAACAGTAGTAGTAGTAACTAGTAGTAGTAGTAGTAACAGTAGTAGTAGTAGTATAGTAGTATAGTAGTAGTAATAGTATAGTAGTAACAGCAACAGTAGTAGTAGCAATAGTAGTAACAGTAGCTCTAGTAGTATTAACAGTAGTAGTAGTAACAGTAGTAGTAGTAGTAGTATTAACAGTAGTAGTAGTAGTAGTATTAACAGTAGTAGTATTAATAGTAGTAGTAGTATTAACAGTAGCAGTAGTAGTAACAGTAGCAGTAGTAATAACAGTAGTAGTAGTAGTAACAGTAGTAGTAGTAGTAATTTGACTTTATAATGGTTAACGAAGGAGGACAGTTATTATTACTGTGCAGACTGACCACATCGACTCAAGGCTGAGGGACTGATTACCTAAAACTCCTCCTGTTCTTCACCATTCTCCTTTGTATGGACTGATGAAGCCACTGTGTGGCGATACGTTTCCTCATTAAAGATACCCAAGTGTTACACACTTGTTAAATTTATCATTATTATTATTATTAAAAACATCGACCCCATGAGGGGCGAAAGTGCGTACTGGAAGGTCTAAGTGGGAGACCAGATTGAAATGTTCAATGATCGATCGTTTCTCCTCTTAGTCAATCTCAACTCGCCTCAACTTGAGGCTTGGCGACTTGCAATCGCCAAGTGGCCTACAAGACTTGCTTAATTAATGGACCCCAAGTGGATTGTAAGAACAGGGATACATAATGCAGTATTATTCCAAATTAGTGGATTGTGGGAACAGGGATACATAATGGAGAATTATTCCAAATTAGTGGATTGTGGGAAAAGGGATACATAATGGAGAATTATTCCAAATTAGTGGATTGTGGGAACAGGGATACATAATGGAGAATTATTCCAAATTAGTGGATTGTGAGAACAGGGATACATAATGGAGAATTATTCCAAATTAGTGGATTGTAAGAACAGGGATACATAATGGAGAATTATTCCAAATTAGTGGATTGTGGGAACAGGGATACATAATGGAGAATTATTCCAAATTAGTGGATTGTGGTAAAAGGGATACATAATGGAGAATTATTCCAAATTAGTGGATTGTGGGAACAGGGATACATAATGCAGAATTATTCCAAATTAGTGGATTGTGGTAAAAGGGATACATAATGGAGAATTATTCCAAATTAGTGGATTGTGGGAACAGGGATACATAATGCAGAATTATTCCAAATTAGTGGATTGTAAGAACAGGGATACATAATGGAGAATTATTCCAAATTAGTGGATTGTGGGAAAAGGGATACATAAAGGAGAATTATTCCAAATTAGTGGATTGTGGGAACAGGGATATATAATGGAGAATTATTCCAAATTAGTGGATTGTGGGAAAAGGGATACATAATGGAGAATTATTCCAAATTAGTGGATTGTGGGAAAAGGGATACATAATGGAGAATTATTCCAAATTAGTGGATTGTGGGAACAGGGATATATAATGGAGAATTATTCCAAATTAGTGGATTGTAAGAACAGGGATACATAATGGAGAATTATTCCAAATTAGTGGATTGTGGGAACAGGGATACATAATGGAGAATTATTCCAAATTAGTGGATTGTGGTAAAAGGGATACATAATGGAGAATTATTCCAAATTAGTGGATTGTGGGAACAGGGATACATAATGCAGAATTATTCCAAATTAGTGGATTGTGGTAAAAGGGATACATAATGGAGAATTATTCCAAATTAGTGGATTGTGGGAACAGGGATACATAATGCAGAATTATTCCAAATTAGTGGATTGTAAGAACAGGGATACATAATGGAGAATTATTCCAAATTAGTGGATTGTGGGAAAAGGGATACATAAAGGAGAATTATTCCAAATTAGTGGATTGTGGGAACAGGGATATATAATGGAGAATTATTCCAAATTAGTGGATTGTGGGAAAAGGGATACATAATGGAGAATTATTCCAAATTAGTGGATTGTGGGAAAAGGGATACATAATGGAGAATTATTCCAAATTAGTGGATTGTGGGAACAGGGATATATAATGGAGAATTATTCCAAATTAGTGGATTGTGGGAAAAGGGATACATAATGGAGAATTATTCCAAATTAGTGGATTGTGGGAACAGGGATACATAATGGAGAATTATTCCAAATTAGTGGATTGTGGGAACAGGGATACATAATGGAGAATTATTCCAAATTAGTGGATTGTGGGAACAGGGATACATAATGGAGAATTATTCCAAATTAGTGGATTGTGGGACCAGGGATACATAATGGAGAATTATTCCAAATTAGTGGATTGTGGGACCAGGGATACTTAATGGAGAATTATTCCAAATTAGTGGATTGTGGGAACAGGGATACATAATGGAGAATTATTCCAAATTAGTGGATTGTGGGAACAGGCATATATTATGGAGAATTATTCCAAATTAGTGGATTATGGGAACAGGGATACATAATGGAGAATTATTCCAAATTAGTGGATTGTGGGAACAGGGATACATAATGGAGAATTATTCCAAATTAGTGGATTGTGGGACCAGGGATACATAATGGAGAATTATTCCAAATTAGTGGATTGTGGGACCAGGGATACATAATGGAGAATTATTCCAAATTAGTGGATTGTGGGAACAGGGATACATAATGGAGAATTATTCCAAATTAGTGGATTGTGCTAGGTAGGTCCTTCTCAAACCCATTTCTTCTCACTCTATACTTTTCCTAAGTTTGGGACATGACTGGCCAATCATAGACGTGTTTTGAAGACTCGCACAGGTAAATATTCTGCTTAAAACGCGTATCTAACGGGTATTTTTCCTTCCCTTTTCACAGCCTTGTCCAACCTGGGAGTGGTGTACAGCGAACAGGGTCGCCTCCAGGAAGCAGAGGCCGCTTACCGTGGCGCCCTCAGACACGCACCAACCATGGCAGACACACACTTTAATCTGTAAGTGCCTTAAGATATTTTGTAAAGCGTTGTTGGTACATCAACGTGAACAAGTGTTCAGATGAACTGTAACAGTGTAGCATCACAACTTGTTGAAGTCAATACTCTGGTACAATACACAACTAACACGAAGTCACAATACCCTGACTGCTACAATTCACAATCCACAAAGTCACAATGCCCTGGCTGCAACAGTTCACAACCCACAGTGTCACAATACCCTGGCTGCAACAGTTCACAACCCACAGTGTCACAATACCCTGGCTGCAACAGTTCACAACCCACAGTGTCACAATACCCTGGCTGCAACAGTTCACAACCCACAGTGTCACAATACCCTGGCTGCAACAGTTCACAACCCACAGTGTCACAATACCCTGGCTGCAACAGTTCACAACCCAGAAAGTCACAATACCCTGGCTATAACAATTTAATCTAACCCACAGTCAAATACCAAATACCCTGGCTGCTACAATTCCCAACACACACACACACACACACACACAATACCCTAGCTGCTAAAATTCACAACTGACACAGTCACTAAACACTGTTATAGAACACGGAACACCTCTGATGCTATAATCTGACTACTACTGCTGTTGTAGCACCTCAAGGAGGTCTCTGCTACAGGGGACTACTGCTGGCGTCTACAGGGAGGACGCAGGAAGCAACAGAGTGCTACCGTGCCGCGTTGTGGAGTAGACCGTGGCTTGCGCAAGCACACTTGGGGCTGGCGGCAGCACTGCAGCAGCTGGGACGTGATGCTGAGGCTGTGAAGGTAGGTACTGAAATGCTGAAGGTAGGTACCGAGGTTCTGAAGGTAGGTACCGAGGTTCTGAAGGTAGGTACCGAGGTTCTGAAGGTAGGTACCGAGGTTCTGAAGGTAGGTACCGAGGTCCTGAAGGTAAGTACTGGGGTGCTGAAGGTAGGTACCGAGGTGAAGGTAGGTACTGAGTTCCTGAAGGTAGGTACTGAAGGTAGGTGCTAAGGTGGTGGAGGTAGGTGTTGTGGTGCTGAAACTACTGTAACATTAGCAGTCACAAGGTTTCAGGACACTGTAACAAGCGTACCTATTGCAGGTGTTGGAGGCTGTAACAGGTGTTTCTGAAGATGGAGGCTGTAACAGGTGTTTCTGATTATGGAGGCTGTAACAGGTGTTTCTGATTATGGAGGCTGTAACAGGTGTTTCTGAAGATGGAGGCTGTAACAGGTGTTTCTGAAGATGGAGGCTGCAACAGGTGTTTCTGATTATGGAGGCTGTAACAGGCGTTTCTGATTATGGAGGCTGTAACAGGCGTTTCTGATTATGGAGGCTGTAACAGGTGTTTCTGATTATGGAGGCTGTAACAGGTGTTTCTGATTATGGAGGCTGTAACAGGTGTTTCTGATGATGGAGGCTGTAACAGGTGTTTCTGATGATGGAGGCTGTAACAGGTGTTTCTGATGATGGAGGCTATAACAGGGGTTTGTGATGATGACGGAGGCTATAACAAGTGTTTTGTGCTGATATTAAAGGCTATTACAGGTGTTTATGCAGATGTTAAAGGCTGTAACAGATGTTTCTGGGCAATAAAGGATGTAACAGGTGGTTTTTACTCGTGTTGGATGCTGGAGTTAAAAGGGCAACAAGTGTTTATCGTAGAATTGTAGTCTCTAACAGGTGTTTCTATTGGTGTTTAAAGGTACAACAGGTGTTTTTCATAGAGTTGAAGGCTCTAACAGGTGTTTCTATTGGCGTTTAAAGGTATAACAGGTGTTTTTCATAGAGTTGAAGGCTCTAACAGGTGTTTATATTGGTGCTTGATGGTACAACAGGTGTTTCTGCTACAGGTGTTAGAGGCGTGTCGGAGCGCAGCATCAGCACCTGCCAGAGATGGCTGGAGTCACAGCTGGGCAGTGACCACCTGCAGACAGCGGCTGGCACGGGCACACATCCTAGCTGGGCGGCCCCACGATGCCCTAGAGGAAGTGGGGCACGCCCTCCAGCACGCCCCTGATGGGTACGGCACCCACTCCTTGCATACCTTGGCAGCAGAGGCCCACCTGGAAGCTGGGGAACATGCTGAAGCTCAAGCTGCCCTCTCACGTGTCCTGGCTGCCCACCCTCACCATGTGCCTGCCCACCTCACCTTCTCCAGGATGCTACAAGCTAATGTGAGTCTTATTAGCAGTAGTAGTAGTACTAGTAGTAGTAGTAGTAGTAGCAGTAATAGTAGTAGTAGTAATAGTAGTAGTAATAGTAGTAATAGTAATAGTGGTAGTAATAGTAGTAATAGTGGTAGTAATAGTAACAGTGGTAGTAATAGTGGTAGTAATAGTGGTAGTAGTAATAGTAGTAATAGTAGTAGTAATAATAGTAGTAGTAATAGTAGTAGTAATAGTGGATGTCTTCTCTACTATTCAGATCAGGGCAGGTCAAGCCAGGTCAAGCCAGGTCATGCCAGGTCAAGCCAGGTCAAGCCAGGTCAAACCAGGTCAAGCCAGGTCAAGCCAGGTCAAGCCAGGTCATGCCAGGTCATGCCAGGTCAAGCCAGGTCAAGCCAGGTCAATCCAGGTCAAGCCAGGTCATGCCAGGTCAAGCCAGGTCATGCCAGATCAAGCCAGGTCAAGCCAGGTCAATCCAGGTCAAGCCAGGTCAGGCTAGGTTGTAATCTATCCGTAAATATTAACCAATTACAACATACAATAGAAGCAATATAAAACAGAGGAAATAAAAACAACGTCTGAAATAAGGAACTGGAAGCCACCGAGCGAGGTACACGTAACTATGTCAGATTATCACTGTTTAAGCTGCCTTCAGTACTGTTTAAACTGCCTTCAGTACTGTTTAAGCTGCCTTCAGTACTGTTTAAGCTGCCTTCAGTACTGTTTAAGCTGCCTTCAGTACTGTTTAAGCTGCCTTCAGTACTGTTTAAGCTGCCTTCAGTACTGTTTAAGCTGCCTTCAGTACTGTTTAAGCTGCCTTCAGTACTGTTTAAGCTGCCTTCAGTACTGTTTAAGCTGCCTTCAGTACTGTTTAAGCTGCCTTCAGTACTGTTTAAGCTGCCTTCAGTACTGTTTAAGCTGCCTTCAGTACTGTTTTAAACTGCCTTCATTACTGTTTAAGCTGCCTTCAGTACTGTTTAAGCTGCCTTCAGTACTGTTTAAGCTGCCTTCAGTACTGTTTAAGCTGCCTTCAGTACTGTTTAAACTGCCTTCATTACTGTTTAAGCTGCCTTCAGTACTGTTTAAGCTGCCTTCAGTACTGTTTAAGCTGCCTTCAGTACTGTTTAAGCTGCCTTCAGTACTGTTTAAGCTGCCTTCAGTACTGTTTAAGCTGCCTTCAGTACTGTTTAAGCTGCCTTCAGTACTGTTTAAGCTGCCTTCATTACTGTTTAAGCTGCCTTCAGTACTGTTTAAGCTGCCTTCAGTACTGTTTAAGCTGCCTTCAGTACTGTTTAAACTGCCTTCATTACTGTTTAAGCTGCCTTCAGTACTGTTTAAGCTGCCTTCAGTACTGTTTAAGCTGCCTTCATTAGTCACCCATTTGACCACCTTCACAACAGAGAAATGCTGTCATTAGTAACTGTTACGTGATGCTGGAGATGTAACTGGAATACAGCGGGTGGCAGTCCATCAGACTGTATCTGTCACGTGACTGACAATGTGTGGGTCATGTGGCTAATATCTGTGTCAGATACACTGCGTGGGAGTCATCCTGTGACTAATACCTGCATCAGATACACAGTGTGGGTCATGTGGCTAATATCTGTGTCAGATACACTGCGTGGGAGTCATCCTGTGACTAATACCTGCATCAGATACATCATCAGACTGTATCTGTCACATGACTGACAATGTGTGGGTCATGTGGCTAATATCTGTGTCAGATACACTGCGTGGGAGTCATCCTGTGACTAATACCTGCATCAGATACACAGTGTGGGTCATGTGGCTAATATCTGTGTCAGATACACTGCGTGGGAGTCATCCTGTGACTAATACCTGCATCAGATACACAGTGTGGGTCATGTGGCTAATATCTGTGTCAGATACACTGCGTGGGAGTCATCCTGTGACTAATACCTGCATCAGATACATCATCAGACTGTATCTGTCACATGACTGACAATGTGTGGGTCATGTGGCTAATATCTGTGTCAGATACACTGCGTGGGAGTCATCCTGTGACTAATACCTGCATCAGATACACAGTGTGGGTCATGTGGCTAATATCTGTGTCAGATACACTGCGTGGGAGTCATCCTGTGACTAATACCTGCATCAGATACATCATCAGACTGTATCTGTCACATGACTGACAATGTGTGGGTCATGTGGCTAATATCTGTGTCAGATACACTGCGTGGGAGTCATCCTGTGACTAATACCTGCATCAGATACACAGTGTGGGTCATGTGGCTAATATCTGTGTCAGATACACTGCGTGGGAGTCATCCTGTGACTAATACCTGCATCAGATACATCATCAGACTGTATCTGTCACATGACTGACAATGTGTGGGTCATGTGGCTAATATCTGTGTCAGATACACTGCGTGGGAGTCATCCTGTGACTAATACCTGCATCAGATACACAGTGTGGGTCATGTGGCTAATATCTGTGTCAGATATACTGCGTGGGAGTCATCCTTTGACTAATACCTGCATCAGATACACAGTGTGGGTCATGTGGCTAATATCTGTCAGATACACTGCGTGGGAGTCGTCCTGTGTCACAGTGTGGGTCATGTGACTAATATCTGTCAGATACACTGCGTGGGAGTCATCCTGTGACTAATACCTGCATCAGATACACAGTGTGGGTCATGTGACTAATATCTGTGTCAGACACACTGCGTGGGAGTCATCCTGTGACTAATACCTGCATCAGATACACAGTGTGGGTCATGTGACTAATGTCTGTGTCAGACACACTGCGTGGGAGTCATCCTGTGACTAATACCTGCATCAGATACACAGTTTGGGTCATGTGTCAGATACACTGCGTGGGAGTCATCCTGTGGCTAATACCTGCATCAGATACACAGTGTGGGTCATGTGGCTAATATCTGTGTCAGATACACTGCTTGGGAGTCATCCTGTGAATAATACCTGCATCAGATACACAGTGTGGGTCATGTGACTAATATCTGTGTCAGACACACTGCGTGGGAGTCATCCTGTGACTAATACCTGCATCAGATACACAGTTTGGGTCATGTGACTAATATCTGTGTCAGATACAATGCGTGGGAGTCATCCTTTGACTAATACCTGCATCAGATACAGTGTGGGTCATGTGACTAATATCTGCGTCAGATACAATGCGTGGGAGTCATCCTGTGACTAATACCTGCATCAGATACACAGTGTGGGTCATGTGACTAATATCTGTCAGATACACTGCGTGGGAGTCGTCCTGTGACTAATACCTGCATCAGATACACAGTGTGGGTCATGTGACTAATATCTGTCAGATACACTGCGTGGGAGTCATCCTGTGACTAATACCTGCATCAGATACACAGTGTGGGTCATGTGACTAATATCTGTCAGATACACTGCGTGGGAGTCATCCTGTGACTAATACCTGCATCAGATACAGTGTGGGTCATGTGACTAATACCACTGTTAGATACACTGTGTGGTAGTCATCATATAACTAATACCTGCATCAGATACACAGTGTGGGTCATCATGTGACTAACACATGCGTCAGGAGACACTCAACACACACTAACAGAACACCACCTCTATCTTCCACACCGTTTAAAATTTATAGGTTATTTGAGATCTATTTCTGGCTGGCTGGTATGGCAACTTGCTACCACCAACACTTACTGGCAATAATGTGAGGGCTGACCTTTAGTAAGGTAAATTTATTGCCGAGAGTAATGTGATGGTTCGGTGTACACTGACTAGCGTGCGTGTGCCTGCGTTGTACAGTTAAACTTGCCATCTTGACTTAAATAGCAACGCTCTTCTTGCCCAGTAAGGCAAGTGAAAATTCGTGTATGCAATAATTTTGCAAAAATCATTCTGAACCTAACGAAAAAAAATATATTTCATTGCGTTCGTTTATTAAATTATTGTAAACTTATCTAAAATATATTTAGTTGGATTAGGTTAAATTAAATTCCGCTTGTTATAATAAGGTTAGGTACGTTTTCTAAGGTTCTTTAGGTAAAAAATTAATAATTTTTACATTAACTTAAATGAAAAAAATATATCTTTAAAAGTATAAGAGAACATTTTAGAAAGGACTTTATATATATATATATATATATATATAATATATATATATATATATATATATATATATATATATATATATATTATATATATATATATATACACATATATATACACACACTGATGATGGCATTCCCAGAGAACGGAATAGGATCTTATATAGTGGCTAGTCAGTGTGGATAATAGAGGTGTTGCGAGGCAAGCTGGGAGGCCATTGTGAGCCTTTGGAGCTCCAACACCTTTGATTAAGAGCCTTGGTCAAAGGCTACCATGGACAGCGGCCCCCCAATCATCGCTCTGACGAACCAGCTCTTTGAAGAGTAATTGCTGCCAGCGATATCAAGCTGCCTGGCAGACCCAGTGTAAACACTACTGGTGGTGCCTGGCAGATACAGTGTAAACACTACTGGTGGTGCCTGGCAGACCCAGTGTAAACACTACTGGTGGTGCCTGGCAGACAGTGTAAACACTAATGGTGGTGCCTGGCAGACAGTGTAAAAAACTACTGGTGGTGCCTGGCAGACCCAGTGTAAACACTACTGGTGGTGCCTGGCAGACCCAGTGTAAACACTACTGGTGGTGCCTGGCAGACCCAGTGTAAACACTACTGGTGGTGCCTGGCAGACAGTGTAAACACTACTGTGGTGCCTGCAGACCCAGTGTAAACACTACTGGTGGTGCCTGGCAGACCCAGTGTAAACACTACTGGTGGTGCCTGGCAGACAGTGTAAACACTACTGGTGGTGCCTGGCAGACAGTGTAAACACTACTGGTGGTGCCTGGCAGACAGTGTAAACACTACTGGTGGTTGCCTGGGAGACAGTGTAAACACTATGGTGGTGCCTGGCAGACAGTGTAAACACTACTGGTGGTGCCTGGCAGACAGTGTAAACACTACTGGTGGTGCCTGGCAGACACAG